GATCATTTTAAAGAATACACTGTTCCAGAGCACTGTTATATAATTACATTTTAAAATAACTTAGTAAACTTTATAACTGTTAGTACCAATTAGTTGCTTTGTCAAAATCTTAAGGGAAAATTAATACTGAGAGTAAAACTATAACTGGAAGCTTTTGACAGTCAACAATAGCAGTGAGTTCATGGTTATCAGTGCATTGTGGTTGGTTAGTGACTGAGGCTACAAATTGGGGGGCTATGGAAAAAACTATAGGCATTCTAGATAATTTTGTGTTAGATACTGTTCATAGCATTTATTTTTTCATTCTTTGTTTTTTTCCCTTTATCTGAAAATATTTATTCCAGGAAGTATTCAGTACCTTGAAATATAGAAATGCTGGGAAGTGTTACACCTTGTTCACCCGCAGACAGTACAATTCAGAAGCCTGTTTAAAACTTCATTTTTCTTTTTGCATGAAAAACTAATATAATTCCAGTTTTGAGGTAGTATTAAGGATGAAGTGTGGACTAATGAATTACTGAGCTATTTTATCACATGTCAACTTTTAACTACTTTATTATTTAAATGAGGCAAGACACTAAAACAAGTAACAAAATAATGCCTATCTAGCTATAAGGGTTTTTTTTTTTTCTTCCTCGAATGCCTTCAGGGCACTTTTGGCCAGCGGGAGAATTGTGAGGTTCGAACTCCAGGAACCTGACGCTGACAGCTTTGTGGAAGCAGCCACTTAAAGGCCTGAGCTAGGGCCAGGCCCCTGAAATGGAATAAGGGTTTTTTTTTTTTTTTCTTCATGCCTATCTAGCTAACTAGAACTTGTAACATTTTGTTGCGGATGTTGTGGTGGCAGTGACATACTTTTGTGAATAAACTGAATTTAAGACGCAAGTTCTTCAGAGTTCTTCATGTATTTTTTCTTCTTTGTCTGTACTTATGTATCGCATCTCAGGGTGGTGGGAGAACAAGAAAGCTTGACATGATCACCTCCTATCTCTGCACTAAATATCTGTGAAGATGTCTTTAAAAAATCAAATTCATGACAGTTCAAAAACCAAAAGATCAAAGACTGGGCCAGCCAAATAGCTCAGCAGATTGAAGGGCCTGCAAGCAGGGGCCTAGGGCTCAATCCCTGGGCCTGCTGTGCCTGCCCCGCCCCCAGGGCACCCTGAGAGGGCAATTGAGACAAGGTGTGGTGGTGTGCATCTATAATCCCCGCAGTCTGGAGGCTATAAACAGGAGAATCACCATGAGTCTGATCTAGTAGTGAGACCCTGAACACCCTGTAGACCCTTCCCTAAAATTAAAAAAAAAAGATCAATTGACATTTGGAATACAGAGCATAGTCTAGAATGCCATAGTTTCCTTCTATTTTGTGAACCTGAATCATGTGAAATATCTGGAGAGAGCAGAAAACAATTTGGACCTATATAGAGGCTGGACAACAGACAGTTGTCTCACCAAGGAGCTGGGGTTCTCAGTTCCCCACTAGCCTGCATTAGTATGTATATGTTCAGATGATTTTGGAGACTAAAATGTCCCAAATGTAGTAAGGCCAAAAGGAGAGCAGGATTAAACATACATAGCCTCCAAAGAGAAGTGTGCTTGGAGCAGGCAGTACTGAAAACTGCTCTTTAGAGCCCCAAAGGAAAGAGCGATTAGCATGTGCTCCTTTGGTGGCTTATTCAGAGAACTGGGTGGTCTGGCCTCAGACTAGCTGAACCCCCACAAGAAGAACATTTGCTAGGAATTGAAAGTTTCAAATCAGGTTGGATACATCAGTCTGAATTTGAAGGTCAGGTGGCTAAAACTTCCAACAGTTCTTTTTTGCTACCAGATGCCAGTCCAGGTGGATCTCTTGATCTTAGGACAGGATGAGATAAAAGCCAAACCAAGTAGCGCATGGAGGGGAGGGGGATGACATCATGAAAAGACACGGCAAGATAAAGTGTTGCCCTAGTAATTTAGAAACAATACCTAGCTCTAAAAATGGTCTTTCTTTTAAGTAGCAAGCGGAGATCAGACATGTGCTTAGTCTGAAAGAGAACTAGGAGACAGAACTAGGAAAGAGAACTACAAAGGCAGAACAAGCTGAAACAAGGCAAACACTGCAGAAGTTGGCTGAGATGAGGGAAGAATATCACGAAAACAAATGGAACAAGAACAAAATTGATCCAGCAGCTTTGAATAATTTGCTCATTAAATATTTATTCTTGAAAGAATAAATAAAACCTGAAAGGTTTAATAGATATAGTAAAATGGAAAGAAACTGAACTTAAGGATTAAACAATGAAGATAAGAGAAAGGAGAAAAGATAGGTAAAAAGGAAGGAGGGAAAACATGCAAGTATATATACAGCATGGCTGAGATGATTGTACTCATAATTTCCATCAGTTTTTTTGAAAATAGCAGTTAATGTATAGAACTTTCTTCTTGATTAACTCTGTATGCTGATATCTGTGATCTGAGCAACTACCTCGAGGACAGCGATGTGTAATACAAAACCCACAGCTGAGTACCTGTCATCTTGGTCTTCTAAATGTTGACCATTTCTAATGTCTTATCAGTTATTATACTCTCTTTAAAAGAAATTGAAACAAAGACAAGGAAAAAGCTTAAGATTTCTTGAAAGCAAGTATCAATATTCAATTATTTCTCCAATCTTGCATAACTATATGTGTTAATCTGAGCAACAAATTTGACAATAAAAATAGATAATATAACAACCATTGTTAGTTAGCTATTCCTGTTTTGAAAATCTGTAGCATATGTATTATTGTACATTACCGTTTCCTTTTTTGTTTGTTTTTGCTTCAGATTTTACTCTTCAAAATTAAATTAAATTTAAAAGCAAAGATAAGAAAATAGAAAAAGTTAAGGCTTGTTCAAAGAAAGTGCTAATAATTATTTGTCCAATATTGCATAACTATTTCTGTTAATCTGAACAATAAATCTGATGATAAAAAGATATAATAACCATTGTTCGCTATTCCCATTTTAAAATCTGTAACGTGTACTGCTATATGTTGTCCTATTTCTGTCTTTGTTTCTTCTATTTAGTTTTGCTTTTCTTTTTACTCTTCAGAGGAAATAAATATTTATTGCTTAAATATTGATCACTTACTATGTGCCTGCTGTTCTAGGTACTAGTAGCAAAAATTGTACATGTGAAGCAGTTTTGAAAGATCCAGCTAAAAGTTGTAAGGTTTGTAGTAGAAAACACTAGAAAAATAAAAGCAGAAATAAAACAAGGTTACTAGAAGAAAACTTCTCTCATTTCATTAATTTTTCAAGTAATAATAGTTGAAAAATACATATTTTCTGATCATTTCAAATTTTTATTTTAAAACGAAGTCCTTACAATATTAAGCCAGAGACAAAGAAATTATCAGCATTAGAATGAGAAATCAAATGGCCACAGACTTCTCTTCTACAGCACCAAATAATACTGAAGACCATTGGGCCATTCCTCCTCATTTAAAACTTTATGTGTTGTTACTATAATTTCATTATATCAGAAATGGTCCTTCTTTGAAAACTTTCAATTTTTCTCCTCTTGGAAAAATACTGTATGGATTTTGTTGCAAGACACTTCATTCCAGTCTGCTTTTCAATTGCTTTAATAAGCATATAAATTCATGGTGTTGATGATATGAATGGTACTTTCTAGGACATTTCAGTACACACAAGTTTACAGGAACTATGTAAAAATATAAGGCTTCTTTCCCCAAAATTCTGTGCCTGCCACAGTTATGCATGTGTTCAGAAGACAGGAAAATAGAGTACTGTCTGAGAAAAGCAGAGCTATATTCTTGCTGAGGAAAAAGTTGATGTAAACTATTTAAATATGTATAAACTATAGGAGAAAAGGACTATTGGTAAAGAGTGATGACAATTCAATATATAAGTAGATACAGATGAAATATAATGGGTCAACTCACATGTTTATAAATTAACTAGATTTAATAGCCAAAATATATTCTCAAAAAATAAATTTACAAAAAAAGCTCAAGGTCTCAATAACTTAAACTGTTTCTGGCATAAGAAGAGATCAGTAGTTCACACTAGATGGAACCAGAGATGATTGGAAATCTACAATATATGTATAGAGATGCTAAGATACAACAATAAACTAGAAATCCATGTAAAGCAGATTGGGAAAATTGGTTCAATTTTTAGAAATTATATTAAATAGAAATTCCTTTACAGTGTTGTATATTAAAATATAAATGATAACTTAAGGAAAAAAATCATTAAAATATCAAGTTGTATAAATGTAAGCATTAACCATGCTCAGGTTCAATAAGGACTTTGAGCACAAAAGTAGTGGACATGAGTTTGATCGGTAGCGGGAGCGGAGAGCAGACCCCAGAGAGCCCTGAGCAGCCCCACCGCCACCCATGGCCTAGTTACCATCACACACCTGGAGGAGCTGCAGCTGCCGCAGCCGGCCCCAGTCACCATCACCACAATCATGAGCAGCGAGGCTGAGACCCAGCAGCCGCCTGCCGCCCCCGCCCTCAGCGCTGCTGACACCAAGCCTGGCACCATGGGCAGCAGCACAGGGAGCGGCGGCCCAGGCGGCCTCATATCGGTGGTGCCTGCTGGCGGGGACAAGAAGGTCATCACAAGGAAGGTTTTGGGAACAGTAAAATGGTTTAATGTAAGAAACGGATATGGCTTCATCAACAGGAATGACACCAAGGAAGATGTATTTGTACACCAGACTGCCATAAAGAAGAATAACCCCAGAAGTACCTTTGCAGTTTAGGAGATGGAGAGACTGTGGAGTGTGATGTTGTTGAAGGAGAAAAGGGTGCGGAGGCAGCAAACACTACAGGCCCTGGTGGAGTTCCAGTTCAAGGCAGTAAATACGCAGGAGACCATAACCATTATAGACGCTATCCGTGTTGTAGGGGTCCTCCACGCAATTACCAGCAGAATTACCAGAATAGTGAGAGTGGGGAAAAGAATGAGGGATCAGAGAGGCTCCCAAAGGCCAAGCCCAACAACGCCGGTCCTACCGCAGGCGAAGGTTCCCACCTTACTACATGCGGAGACCCTATGGGCATCGACCACAGTATTCCAACCCTCCTGTGCAAGAAGTGATGGAGGGTGCTGACAGCCAGGGTGCAGGAGAACAAGCTAGACAAGTGAAACAGAATATGTATCGAGGTTATAGACCACGATTCCTCAGGGGCCCTCCTTGCCAAAGACAGCCTAGAGAGGATGGCAGTGAAGAAGATAAGGAAAATCAAGGAGATGAGACCCAAGGTCAGCAGCCACCTCAACGTTGGTACCGTGGCAACTTCAATTACCAACGCAGATGCCTAGAAAACCCTAAACCACAAGATGGCAAAGAGACGAAAGCAGCCAATCCACCAGCTGAGAATTCATCTGCTTCCGAGGCTGAGCAGGGCGGGGCTGAGTAAATGCCAGCTTAACATCTCTACCCTCATCCGGTTTAGTCATCCAGCAAGAAAGAAATGAATAGGAAATTCCAGCAATAAGAAATGAACAAAAGATTGGAACTGAAAACCTTTAAGTGCTTGCTTTTTGCCCGTTGACCAGATAACTAGAACTATCTGCATTATCTATGCAGCATGGGGTTTTTATTATTTTTACCTAAAGGCATCTCTTTTTGGTAATGACAAACGTGTTTTTAAAAAAAGCCTGGTTTTTCTCAATACACCTTTAAAGGTTTTTAAATTGTTTCATATCTGGTCAAGTTGAGATTTTTAAGAACTTCATTTTTAATTTGTAATAAAAGTTTACAACTTGATTTTTTCAAAAAAGTCAACAAACTGCAAGCACCTGTTAATAAAGGTCTTAAATAAAAAAAAGTAGTGGACATAATTACAAAGTTTATATCAATAAACTTGATTGTGTAGTATATACAATAACAAAACCCTAAACCATTGATAATGACAACCTGGGGAAATTTTGACAAGTTTTTGTCCATAAGTCAGTAAGAAATATAGTTAACTAGTTGATTCCAGTGTGTTTACCAGGTGATGGAAAAGTTCTCTAATCTCATTCTGAAGATTTTTAAAACACGTTGTTGTGGCACTGGTTGTACACTTAGTAATCTCACTGCTGGAGTGAAGGGAACTGCTGTATTTTTGGATGACAGTTGGGCAGTGTGTATTCAGGAGCCTTTAACATTCATGCCTTTTTAAAAATTTCATTTTATTGAGAAACAAATTTTTATTTTCTTTTATTGAGAAACAAATATCAATGAGACAGTTTCAAAACTGATTAATAGGACAGTTTCAATAATTAATGCGTTGTACATTGTTATCTTCTTAGTGGTTATCTGTAGTACAAGATACAGATGGAATATCCTGTCCAAACACTATTAGTACAAATCTTTCTTCTCATTGAATTCGATGAGAACATTCATGCCCTTTGAACCAGTTATAATGCTGCAAAATTTGTTCTGTGGACATAAAGATACATATGTTGAAATATGTTCATTGACAGATTGGTTAAATAGCCATCAGTTAAAAATGTTTTTAAAAAATGTCAGTGGCAGGTAAAAATGTTGCTTATATAGTATCAATGAAATAAAAATATATAGGGCTGGGGAGATAGCTTAGAGGTCTAAGTGCCTGCCTGGCAAGCACAAGAACTCAGGCTTGATTTTCGGTACCACATGCTGTGCCACCTCCTGGAACCCGGAGTGTTGGCTGGTCGCTGAAACCAGGCATGGTGGCCCATGCGTGTAATCCCAGTGCTGGAAAGGCTGAGAGAGGAGCATCACTCTGTGTCTGAGCTGCAGAGTGAGACCCTGTACCAAATAAATAAATAAATAAATGGTTTAAAACAGTATATTATATATCTGATATTATTCAATATGAGAAAATTTACTGGAATTAATATACTAAAATGTTAGCAAGGATAATGTGAACATTTATTAGTCTTGTTTTATAATTTTTTAAATTCCTTTTATGTCCTACCACTTTTGCATAGACTAAAGACTTTGGCACTTCCGATGTATTATTTATTCATATTCTGTTACCATCTCTGATCTTCGCCCCATTTTTCCTTTTTCCTTGGCACCTTCAGGGTGGCAAGAAAGAGAATTTTGGAACCAAGAAATGAGGGACTGGGGAGGAGGAGGATCTGTTTTTTACTCTCTGCATTCTTGGTACTCTGTCCCAGAATAGACCCCAGGCATTTGGAGTTCTCAGTTGGAAAAACACTGAAGAATGACTTTCCTTCTGCCTCTTTTTATTTTACAGGAAACACATGAAATTGTGGCAATCAAGAAGTTCAAGGACAGTGAAGGTATATATGTTGGGTTTTTTTCCTTTTGTAGTAAGTTTTTGTAAAGAAAGTATGAAAGAGGTGAGATTTACCTGGCTAGATCCTATCTATTCCTGAAATTTTAAAATCACTGTCTCAGAAAGTGAATATAGCTTTTATCTATTATAATTTGCTTTGAAACATTATTTCCTTCTATGTGAATTTTTCTATCTCATGATATTAGAAAGTTTATATTATGTTTTAAGATCAAATTAACATTGGAAAGCTTGCTCTAAATAGAATGTCATTTTATCAACACTTTTCTAACTGTAATTAAAATGAAAATGCTGATTTAAAGTAATATTGTTCACACAAATAGTGAATGGTGTATGAAAGACTTCAGTATTGGATACTGTGATCTCTAGTCCCTAATCAGAATTAGAGATACAGCGCTAAGTGGGAGCCAGTCTTGACAGGGTGATTTGCTATATGGAATCACTCATTTGGAGAATAAATTCTTCACAAAAAATAATCATACTTGAAGGCCTTGATTACATATTCAGGCCATTTCAAATTGAGTATTTTACTCTGTGCTGGGCTTGAAAGTTTAAAATAAAACATTTCCGTAGTTCATTATTTTTTAAATCTCAACTCTGAAGATAGCCAAGTAGAAAAACTGATCATTAAAATATGCATGGCCTTTAAGGAAAACTCTAGGCAGCATTTTTTCAGACATTTTGGACAGAGACCTCAGTAAAAATATATTTTATTCCCTAACCCAGTGTCTACACAGTCTGTACTCTATGTAACTAAAGGAAAAGTGTTACACACTCCTTTATCGTACTCTGTTTTCATTCTTGCCTGTTCATATAAATGCCGATCATGGCATCTGATACCTTGATTGCACCACTGAAGAGTCTCAGCCTGCCATTTGAAAAACAGTGATTTAGGTATAAAAGATACCAGCATAGCATGAGCCTTTATAGCTAATCAGCAATGTGAAGGTAGCTGTCATAGTCTACCTTCATCAGCACACATTTACTAAGCACTGTACAACACTAGTTTCTGTGTTTATAAACAACCTATTGTTTTTGTCTAAAAATTAGTAAACATGAAATAACAAAGAGAGCTTTCTAACAAGAGTTACAGGATAACTGAGTAGTGTTGCTGTAACTGCATTCTGAAGTGCTGACTATGTGGAGTATGCCTATCATTTGGGAACTTCAGCAGCCACCATGAGTGCAGCTTTAAGGAAAGCACTGGAGAAATGCTTTTAGCCTCTCTTCCAGGAGCAGGAGCATGCTTCAAACGCTGTGCCTGTGGTCTAATGGAAAAAGTAGCCCTAAGCCAACCTACTGTGAAACTATTGGAAATGAACCCTTTGAGCAGTGACTAGGCTAACGACAGGTGGCCCAGAGACAAATGATCTTCTAAAAAGAGTAATTGGAACAATAGATCAAAGCACAACCTTTACATGCATTTTGAGACTTCTGGTTGTGCATTCATCTTGCAGGCCATATCAGCAAGCATCAGTTACCACCAAAAATAATAATTGTCATTGAATTTTTAAAAAGGAGTACAATCTAGGCCATCTATTGCTTTCTAACCACCATATTCTTCACAATCTTTGTTCAGTGTATACCTGTATTTAGCTCCAATTATCTGATATATTTCACCCATGCAATCAAGAAAGTATACATAGAAATTCATTGAGTGCTGAGCTGGGTACTTTAAGAGCAGTACAAGTAACTCAGGCATGGACACTTTCAAAAAGCTTTGGCCTATTAGTAGAATTAGCAGTGTTAATGTACATCTAAATATGCTACGTACAGTACATACAGTACATATCTTTGGAGAGGGATGCTTTCAAAGCATTTCTTTGACTGACCCTGAAAATGTATCCAGTTATACACAAACTTCAACTTTTTAGTTCTAGTCCTATTAGAGGCCTACTTTCTTACTGTTACCAGTTCTCCTTGGAAGATCTAGTATGTCTTCTGTGTCTTTACCATTTTCCTCCAGCTGGAGTAGTGTCCTACTAAATGGAAAGAAAGGTAGATGTATGGTGCATAACCCTTTTTTGAGTATAGAGTGTAGGTGGATAATTTTGTACAGGTGGGGATTTCCCATTCAACTCCTTTGTGAGCTATTTAATTTTAAATTAAATTATTGTCTTTAGTTTTAGTCAAGCCTTATTACAAAAATTACTATATGCCCTCTGGTCATATAGCTCTCATTCCTCTCTTTTATTAGTTACTCTGAAAATATTCTTTTGATATGATGATGGTGATTATTCTGAATCCAGTTTTTAAAATCTTGGTGAAAATAGTCAAATAATTCTGTATGAACAATGTTAAACTGAAGTAGAGTCTGTACTTGGTCTGAGCCACTTTTAAGCTAATCAGATATTCTCTACATGATGATACCAAAGGATATTTTGTTTGAATGTATGTTAACTTCTGGTAGCTTTGAAAGATTATGATGATGTCATGTCTTGTTAAATTCATCTGTATTCACACATTTATGTCTTAAAAACATTTTGGGGACTTTAAATTGGAAACATGTCTAAAATTATAAAAATAAATTTACTTTATAGGTAACACAGATTAAGTTATAAATCAAACTAAGTCTTCTTAAAATACTGAGCATATCTTTTGGGGAATAAGAGCAATGTTTACAGTAAAATTGTGAACTAGCTTAGTGAATGACTTTCACAATACAAAGAGGATTATTCAAAATATGCAAAAGATTTTGTCAGTTTACTCGTCATGTTTTATATTCCTTTATGTCTCCATCTTTTTCAGGTTTTTATCATCTAGTTGTTGCCTGATATAACTCTATGAGTTAATTTATCACTGTGTTTACCTGTGATTCTCCCCAAAAGATTTTGATGCCCTGGTAGGGACAAAAATTCCTGTTGGAAGGAAGGAATGGGCCAGGCATGTTGTCACATAGCTATCATCCCCGCTACTTGGGAAACTGACGCAGGAGATTCACAAGTGTGGCCAGCCTGGGCAATTTATTGAGACCCTGTCTTAAAATTGAAAATAAAAATTGGCTGGAGATAGGCACTGGGTTCGATCTCTGTGATAAACATACATGGGTAGGGGGAAGAAAAGAAATGTTTGATGATAATTTTTTCTCTGATTTGTTTTAAGAACTTCTTGAAATTTGAAGGCTTGGATAATGAATTCTTAATGATAATCTGAATTAGGCTATTATACATTTATCTATTAATTAAATTGCCACAGAGAAACATTCATTAGTAAATACCTAAATGACTAGAAGGCTCCATTACATTTCTTCTATTTAAATTTCCTAAAAGAAAAACATGACAGACTATAAAGGTACCAGGTATTACTTAGTTAAAAGGTAAATTTTCAGACTATATATAGCCTATTTCTTGAATTATGCCTGTAATTCAAGTCTTATACCATAAAGTATGAGATTTGGTGATCAGAAATTAATCTTCTCTCACTGTTGTTCATTCACAGAGATATGTACAAGTATCTGCTGTCTCAGATTTGTTAAATATAATCCAAGAGCACTGACTTGGACCAGATAATTTTAGACCAGCAAGAATAAAAAATACGGTCTTTTAAATCTTTTCTTCAGGAGAGCCTATGGTCTAGGTTTATTTTTTAACCTACTTTTTTGTCTTTTTGAGACAAGGTCTCACTGTGCAGTTCAGGCTGGCTTTTAGCTCACTTTGTAGCCCAGTCTAATCTCAAACTTACAATGATTCTTCCTGCTTCAGCCTCCCAAGTGCTAGGTTTGCAGGCATTCATCATTACCTCAATTTTGGGCTTCCTTTTTGTCTTTGGACTTTCTGATCTTGAATATATGGATAAGTGGAATAAGGAACATCCTCTCTGTTTTTCAGTAAGTCTCAGTATATGGCTAGGAGGCTGACTCCAAGGGACCATGCAGCAGCCCACATTTTTTTGTGGAATTTAGGCTTTTTTCTGCCTTTGTAGCAAATAATATTGCTTTCATTTTATATTCTGCTGCTGCTTATGTTTTCTGCAGATAAACATTTTTCTAGTGGAATGGCCATATTCTTCTTAATTATTAGAAAATGTTTAATCATCTATTCTTTTCAACAATTTATTTCATTCTCAATTTTACCAACATCCTAGAAGGCACTATCCTCATCTCTTTTATTGAATAACATAAAGCAACAGCCCATAATATTGAGTCCTTAAATTCAAGAACCTGAAGTCTCCATTAGAGAGGGCTTGAAACAAAATTTCTAACCCTTGATCAACAAAGAATTTGATTAACTGAACTTGATCACTTTGGCTAGTTATGACTTCACTCCTTTTCTTAAAATGATCATCAAAATGGATCTCCCTCAGACATCAGGGATTCTAGGATTAGGTGACCATTTTGTATTGTCATGATTTCATGAATTTCTATTTTCCTTTTATCTGCCCTTCATCTCTGAAGATTGAAAGATCCTTGTTTTTTTTGGTACATAAAACAGTAGCACCAGCATTCAAACCTCCCTAGCTCTGTTAATTGCCCTACTGCTGATGTCTTTTCTTCAATGAGGACAATCAGAATCAAACATGGTGCCCCTATGGTTTCATACAAAGCTGGACTGACTTTTTTCCTATGGATCTGTTTAAAGGTCTGTTTTGGGGGCCTCTTTGGCTGTACAAAAATGTCAGGTTTGTGATTTCATAAAGTAGGTTACAGCTATTCCTGGACTTCTTTTCCAAGCCCACAGTTCTTTAAAAATAGAGTTACAATGGTTTCTGCTCATCTTTAGATTTTTCTTCTCATCACTAATCTTTGAATTTCTTTTTCTTCTGTCATCTTTCTTCTTAAAAATTGTTAACCTTTTACTTTAGTTTCTCTCTTGATTTTTTGGTGTGTTACCTTGTTTTGCTGGTAGGCCTATCTAGGTAGATCATATTTTTGTTTGTTATGTGCTTTTTCCTACCGTGTCACTTAGTCTGCATTCAATGGAGTTATGTATTTATCTGAACCTAACTTTGTCAGAGTTGCTCCTCCTGCCTTCACTAAACCCCTTCAGTGGTAACTGATGATGAGGTCAGTCTGCATTCATATGAATAGGCATTGTATAAAAATGTTGACTTTTAGTGCTGGAAGAGATCTTCAGAATAAACCAGAATAAACATAGCACCACTTTATAGATGACAAGCTTCTATGTGATTGAGACAAAAATGCAGACCCAGGAGCTTTTGAGTTTTTCTTCTCCCCATACTCTGCTTCTTAGTTGCTTAGGTTTAGCATTAAGCCAAGTGGCCTAGTTTAGCAGCAGATTCTAGACCTAACCCTGGGTGTTGTGACTCATTCTCCAAAATTCATGGCATTAGGCCATGCCACCTGTGTCCTTACGTTCAATTCAGGCTAAGGGGTAGAATGTGACCTTCAGCCACTCATCCTAATAAAGTTAACTTTTGTTCCTCTTGTTAACTGGTGAATCTAGCCCAGAAAGAGAATCTAAAAGTATTATTTCAATTGTGATATGGTGATTTTTGATAGGTTATGCTACCAGTTTTAAAAACTACTTATTGAAATGCTTTGCTATTTTCTGCTTCTTTGAGGAGTGAAGCATGTGCAGTGAACTGTGCATAGTTTTCCCCCATCATTTAATCATTTGTTGCCACAGTATTCATCATAAAGTGCAGGACAGGCTAGGAACCTAGAGAAACAAAATTATAGGATGTCCAAGTAATGAAGTGTGTATTTTGCTTGCACTTCAGGAATTAATAACTTGACTTCCTGAATGCTCCCATTCATTATAATCTTAATGCTCAAGTGCTTGCCTCAACTTTTAATGCCTATGTCTGTCATGAAGGAGCTGGGCAAGTGAGGTTGCCATGGTACTACATGTTGGTGATTTAATGTGCTGCTTTTTGAAGGGTTGCTTATCATCTCTTTTTGTAGCCATTGTTAATTAGAGTCAGTGTAGATTTAAATGATGTATATATAACAGATTACCAAAATTCAATGAGGTTTAGGTTTATAAACAGTAAGACTGTACTGAGAAGAAATCATAGATTATTAGATTTGGAAAAGGCAATAGGATTTTGGGGACAAGCACTTATTTACTGATGAAAGGCTAAGTTGCTTGCCTAAAGGTTCATGTCAGAGTATCATGTTAAAAGGCGATCCCAAAATCTAGATTCCCATAGTCCTATTCCAATAATTCTTCTATGAAAGCCATTCTGACAGCCATTCTGTGATGGTTTTATACATTAGCAAAGTGAAACTGACACAAATTGGTAATACAAAGTGCCCCTGTTTCACTTAATTTTCATGTGCTGGCTAATTAACCAAGCATTTGATTAGGGATGATATACCTGCTGTATTTATTAGCAACTTTGTACCCAGCTTCAGCATAGCTTATGAATGCTCTTAAGGATTGTATACAGATTTTTGCATGTACACACAGATACATCCATATATTCTTTACCCAGAGTACTATCAGTTTTTTAGGTCCTCCATTTTTCTTAGTCACAGATGATGGAAACAACTGAGGTGAGAGATGAATAAAAGAAAATAAATTCAATTGTCTTATTTTATGGTAAGCAGCCTTCTGAGCTTGAGAGAGATGATAAAAGTACTTACTTGAAATCAAGAGAAAAAAATCAAGAGGGTCACAGGAAAAATAGAGGTACAGTAAAAATGTTGTATAAAGTTACCTTCGGATTATGTGTATAAGGTATATATGAGACATAATGAATTCTGTGTTTAGAGTTCATTCCCAACACCAAGATATCTCATTATTTATGTGTATGTATTCCAATATTTTCAAAAGTCCAGAATTTCAAACACTTAACCCAAGCATTTCAGATAGGGTTCCACAGTGCCTACTGAAAAAAGTAAGACAGACGTTAAAAAGTCGAGAGTATTGTGACAAGGAACAGTAGGGTAGGGACCTACTTGCTTTGCAGTCTGGCAAAGGCCCTTGAGGAGCGCTCTTTCAAAGAAACCTGAGGGAGCCAGCAGTGCTGTAAAGAGCTGGGCTACTAGGCTGAGCATTCTGCACACAGGGAACAAATATAAGGCCCTATCACTGAAAAATCGAGGTTAGGGGTATTTTCAGAACTGAAAGACTAAAGTGAAGGAAGGGAGGAGAAGCATGACATGAGAGTCTCCAAACAAAAGCTGTGTTTAGAGACTGGTTGTGGTTCCCAGCTGCAGCAGCTAGGGCTGTTGTTGCATTCCAATAGCCCTCAGATGCCATTTCTTGGGCTCAGCCCCAACTTGCAGAACAGCTGGCCTTTTGTCCCCTGGTAATCCTGTAAGCCTCTTGGGGAAGCATCCCAATCACATCTCACCCCTTCCCCCTATGGGCAGATAGCATCTACTGTCTTGCTGTCTTCTGATGTGGGGCAAGTTCCCTGTTTCTGCCACCATTAGCCTTTCGTAGCAATGGCTCTTGTCTTTCTGAAGGCAACATTGCTGTCCTTTCCTAATGTGTTCCAGCATTCTCTGAGCACTTTCTGGCTGAAATAGAATACTTTGCTTATGTAACCAGTTTAGAAAGGAGTGTGGACTTTATATTTCTTCTTTGTTACAGATTCTCCAGTGTTACAAAACCCCTGCTTTTATTAGTTCCTTTTATTTAAACACAGTTTGAAAGAAGATTAGGAGAAGGGGCTGGGATAAGTTGAGAAGCACTCCTGACTGTGTTTATACTTGCTCCCCTCTCTTCATCCCCATCGCCCTTCAGCCTTTTCCCTCTTGCGTGCCTTGCTTAGAAAGCATGTCTTTAGAAGGCATAGTCTTTCTTGCCCCCATCCTCAAACTCCATTTTCTTTCTCCTGAGACTTGAAGATGTGCCTGAATTTGAGGTCACACAAATTACGCTGCCAACCTAGGATTCTAGCTCTTCCCCCAAACTTTGAGACAAAGCATGTTTTATAATTTGTAACTAGGATTTTGGAATGGAAAAGTGGGATGTCATGTAGTACCCTGTAATAAGTAGTATTTCTGTAGCACAGTATTGGAATAGTCATATTAGATGTGATAAACAAAAGACTACAACTGGTCTTGCATCAGTTCAGGTTTACTTCAAAATGAGTTTACTCCAAACATAGAAAAAGTTTTCAGTTTTTAAACTTTTGGGGGGATTTGAATTGTAGGTGAGGGATTATGAAGCTGTATATTCATGCATACATGTGAAAAAAATAGTGGTTTGAATTTCCCTACAATGTCTGAAGCTATCATAAGCACTCATTTCAAATGAAATATTGGCTCCTGGCTTTCCTGCCCATTAATCTCTCAGAGTTTATGTGACTTCTGTCCTTCCTTCATGTCTGTGGAGGTTATCATGAGTGAAGTTGGTGGTATGGAAGAGCAGATACTGGTTCAGCATAAGTTCTCCATCCCAGAACAGCTACACCATCTGGGATGGACAGATGGACATGCCACAGGAAGGCAGCAGGAACCCACAGCAGCTGCTGCTCAGAGAAGATCAGAAACTCTAAGAATTTCAGCAGTTTGGCAAGAAGCTACATTGTGGATGCCTGGCACATGGCCTCTACTCACTGACGTGGTTGACATGCAGCCTGAGGGAAAAAAAATGCTCTTATAAGCCAAAGCTTGAGGCCATCCTTAAAGACATCAACTGCTACAGATGCAGGCTGCATACAGACTCTGCACACTGATGTGGTTGATTCTCATGACTCTTTTAAATGCCTTCTGCTCTAGTACAGAGAACTAGAGATAAAATGACACTTGGTTTATATATTGCATTCATAAATTCATGTTTTTACACATATACTTTGCAATAAGGAATATAAGAAAATACAAGCAAACAATCAAGTTCAAACTGGTCAAATAAACTTTTAAGTTTCTTATTCTTGATCCTTTCAACAAGAAAATGTTATTTTGATAGTTTACCTGTGGACTTCTTAACCAGAAGTACTCAAAATAGGTTAAATTGGGTTGTTTTCAGTGCTCTTAAAATTCTATGAATAGTAGTTTGAAATTTTAAATTTTTCTGTCTTCACCATTGTTTGCATTCTAGAAAATGAAGAAGTCAAGGAAACGACTTTACGAGAGCTTAAAATGCTTCGTACCCTCAAACAGGAAAACATCGTAGAACTGAAGGAAGCCTTTCGTCGGCGGGGCAAATTGTACCTGGTGTTTGAGTATGTGGAAAAAGTAAGCCACTAATTTCCAATATGCAGATTTGCCTGGTTCTTTCATTTAGTACTGCCTCTGACATTATTGAAGAAAGTATTGTTATTTAATATAACTTTTCAATGTCCTCATAACTTGAGAACTTTAAAAATGAAACTATTACCCATAATCATTAGAGGTCCTGAAACTTATTTGAGTATATTGTAAAATTTAACAGTGCAAAGATAATCGCAAGTTTAAGCCATATACTCACTTGGCTTCTCAAGTTTTAGAATGTACGTCCTAGTAATGTTTTTAGACTTATTTTAATTAAACTCAAATTTTCTGAGGGAGAAATGGGTAAACTGATGATATAGAAGATATGTGTCAGATTCCAGAGAAGCAGAGCATACATTGTTTCAGTTATCTCAAACTTAAAAAGGAAAAAAAAGATTACCTTACTAGTAATTTTGGGTGAGGGACAGTACTGGAAACTGAACCCAGGGCCTTCACAGTGATCCACATTCCCAGCTCTTTTGTATTTTTTGATGTGTTGTTGTTGTTTTGAGACAGGGTCTTTCTGAGTTGCTCAGTCTGGGCTGGAACTTATGGTCCTGCTGTTAATACAGGTGTGCAATAGTGACAATTTTAATGATGTGACCTCCAGGCAAATGAATGCTGCCATAATCATTATTAGGCGCTTGGGGGTTTCTTGGAGAGTAGTTGAACTGTGCACTAGTCATGGCCAGGAACTTACCAATAGAAGAAATTGGAACCAGAAGGACCTTTCAGAGGTTTCCTCGATGAGCAGATAGTGGACCTGCAAATTTCTTGTGCTGTTATCTAACGAGGATTGAAGCCGAATAATTGCCTCAGGTCAATTAATTCCAGGTCCTTGGTGTTTCATAAATGCTGCCAGTGTCATCATCAAATGGGAAGCAGTGTTGTCAAAATGACCACTGATGTGAATTAAAATTCATGCAACCATTACAAATTTGAAATAAACACTATATATAGTAATTTCATTACTAGCAAAACTTGAAAAATACAAGGCAAATTTTTCATGTTAAAGCACTACTTTTATGTTCATTTTGTCACCGGGAAAGACAATTTGGTGGTTCTTTCTGCTAGTAAGTAACAGAGCTTCTACCAGAACTCTAGTCTTCTAATATCTGGGCTTCTTCACTGACCCTTGGGTTGTCAGATGGCAGGTGACCATCATACCTGCCCATCAGTGCCAGGGCCTCATCATTGACTCTGAGCTGTAAGAGGACAAGGGGAAGGATGGTTTAAGGCAGTGATAGTAACCTTTTAAAGCTTACAGTGATAACAGCCAGGTTGGGCACATGTGCCATAGGTTTCCCACCCCTGGTTTAAGGGATAGGAAGTTAGAAACAGAAACTTATGGTTGTGTTGCTTTAAAACAAAATAGAAACTTTTTTCCCTGATGTACAAATACAAAGGTAGGGCCAGGGAAATAGCTCTGTAGAATAAGCTCTTGCCTGGCAAGCGCAAGGTCCTGAGTTCAATCCTGGGTACTGGAAAAAAAAAAACAAATACAGGTAAGCAGTACAGCACTAGTGTGACAGTCCTGACACACTAAGAAGCCCAGGCTGTTTCTTGCTTTTTGTTTCACCACCTTGTCCTTAAGGTCAGTATAGAGCTGTCACGTCCCATTGGCGAGGACATAGTTGAATGGTCACACTATCTGTAAGACAGAAGAGAGATGTGCTCCTCATTCTGGGCTGCTATGTCCCTACCTAAAAATTACACACTTACGGAGTAAGGAAAGAAAGGCCATCAGGGGACAGTATCTCTGCTACTGCCACTGAGAAACCTAGAGCAGAATATGAAATGAGGGATACTATTTGTTTTCTATACTACAGAATCCTCATCCCGCCTGTGTGTTTGAGGCCTCCTGTGTGTTTGAGGTCTCCTATATATTTATTAATTGAAAAAGGCTTTTAAAATGGAGAATCATAGCAAATGATGCATGCTTTCTTTAAACATTTTATTTTAATTGAAAGCATAAATACACATATATCATTCTTTAGAGATATGTCAAGGTCTTTTGCTTTTTGGTCTTCTGATTGAAATTGTGATTGGTCTTTCATACATACATCATACCCATAATGTACCTTTAAAAGTAAAGCAAATGCTCAGGAACATTTGCAAAGCCATCTCACAGGTCCTTCAGTATTTGTTGTCATCACCTGTCCCTGTCCCTTGCCAGTGTTTCATAGATGTTTGATTCACCTTTGGTTAGATGATAATGTGTTTTGTGACTTTTCTTTACAAAGTATTTCAAAGTACTTAACTTTGTTTTCTTAAAAACAGCATTTTAAAGAAGCACTATGTCATTGGTTGATGTGATATTTATTTTTTAAGTGCACTTGTTATAAATAGGTATGAAAATAAACACAAGCGATTCTTGATGAGTACACAGCCTGACTGATGAGAAGAAAATGACAAGGCAACACTAGTTTTCAGGCTGGGCAAGTGGCTCTATCATAGGTTGTTCAGTGTCATATGCAAGGCCTTGGTTCAATCCCTGGCTCTAAAAAAGAATCCATTTAAAAATAACAATGATAAACCCATTAATATTAACAAATACATTTATGTATCAACTATTTTTTTCAAGTAAAAAATAGTGTTCCACAAAAAAGCAGCTAGTTGAGCTTGCTAGACTGTCATCCAAGTGATGTGTCTCAGGACAGTCGTCATTCAGATGGCACATGTGCAGCCGAAGTACTCTGTTGTATCCTCCATTTTGTTGTGTGGATTCTTGACAAAACATGTACTTTTATTTTTTTTTGATTTTTTTTTATTTATTTATTACATTTATTTATTGTGTATGTGTGTGGCCAGCTCAGCCCACCAGGGGGCGGGTCTGGCTGGCATGTGGTGCTGGGGATCGAACCGCGGTCCCTGTGCTTTGCCAAGCTTGTTTCAAGTAGGTGCTTTAGACCACTGAGCCATCTCTCCAGCCCCAAAACATGTACTTTTAGAATGGGAATTTCATAAAGGTAGTATTTTCACTGTTTCATCAAGGACACCTTTCGCTGAAACGGTTGTACTTTTAACAGTCAGGGTTAATTGGATTAAAGATCTAGTTCTTGCTAAGGTGTCAGCCGTTTACTCGTTGTTTTGTCCCATCAGTGTAAATGACAACACAGTGAAAAAGGCAAACATTGACCTTGTTGTCCTTGGGGGTTGTCTGAAGTGATAAACTGCAATTGTGCCATGGGCCTTACTCAGTTGCTTTTCAGAGAAAACGTACATTTGGCTCGTCTGGAAATTCAGTGACAACTGCTAAAGTTACAAATTAACAAAACTTTTGCTTCAATTTTAAAATGATCTATGACTCCAATCTAAAGGTTTTCAATATTAAGTTGTTAAGAGTGCATGGGTTCCCATTTCTGCAGTATTTTTTAGCCTGTTTCAATTTTTATACTAAGTGCATTTTTTTCTACTCTTAGGGATCTTTTACTTTTTTCTGTGTAAGAATATTAGCCAGGTATAATGGCACACACCTGTAATGCCTGCTAGTTTAGAAGCTGAGACAAGAGGATCACTTGAGTCCAAGAGTTCAAGACTAGCCTAGACAATAAAGACCCTGATTAGAAAAAGAGAATATTATCCAAGTCACTCACAGAAATTAAGACTTTAAAATGACACCTCGTAGATTACAGTGTCATATCTCTACTGCATAGAGATTTTGTCTTTAAATTTTTCTAAAAATGATGCTTAAATGTGTTTAGGGGTAGTGGAAACTACAGATGGTTATTATTAGGGACAACATAGAGAAAGTAAAAATCAAATTTCTCATGAAAGAAAACTTTGATTTAATGTAGTATCCTGTTTCACCAAGACCTAGGTTGTAGGTGAAATGCAAAACAAAGAAACAAAAAATTGTATGCTGTGTATTGGATGAATCCAAGATGCTTTTTAAAATTATTAATATGTAATTCATGGGCCTTTCTAATTTTGGAAAATAATGACTCTCTATTTAACTTTTAGAATATGCTTGAGTTGCTGGAAGAAATGCCAAATGGAGTACCACCTGAAAAAGTAAAAAGCTATATCTATCAACTTATCAAAGCTATTCATTGGTGCCATAAGAACGATATTGTCCACAGAGGTGAGTATGGAATGTACGACATAGAAAATGCTAAAGAAAGAGGGGAGCAGTTGATGTTTAATTTTTTTTGTCCTTTTTAATTTGTTGTTATATTTTGTAAATCAATTTTGTATGCTTTATATCTTATAATCTAAATAACTAGTATAAAGACAATATTATGCAATACAGCAAACACTGTCGAATTCCTATTGTTTTAAGTTCTGTATCATTTCTAATATTTTTTTTTTACTATTTTGTGTTCTCTGTAGATAATAAAAATTAAAAATTAGGGTCAGGGAGATAGCTCAGCAGCTTAAGCACCTGCCCAGCAAGCACAGGGCTCTGAGTTTAATCCCCAGTACCGCAAAATAAATAAGTAAAATAAAAATTAAAAAAATATCAAATAAAGCTAAAATATTTACTGTCTTAAGAATATTTCTATTTTAATGCGCTTAGAAACTATAGGATTGAGGCCCAGGGAGATAGCTCAGTAGAATAAGTGCTTGCCTGGCAAGCACAGGGTCCTGAATTCAATCCCTAGTACCACAAAAAAAAAGAAAGAAAGAAAGAGAGAAACTATAGGATTGAGAAGTCATTTGCCCTCCAAATCTTTTTGTACCATAAGAATGGATCATAAATGTATTTAGATACTGTGGTGAGATCTGTATAAACTAGATCCATTTAACTATAGAAACACCTACTGACATAAAAGTATTCAATAATTGCAAATTTTGATGCTTCTATGGAGTAGAGGTGGGATAGTAATTATGGTACGATAATTTCTATACCCTTTTCTTCCTAAGGTAGACCAAGTGATGTAAATCAACATAGGATCAGGCTTTATAGATGGTCCTTAAGTCTTGGCCCCCAGTGATGATCACATTTTACTCTCACTTAGGGCAACAATCGTATATTTTCCCCCACACATTAATGAAAGTTCTCATTGTCTGCGATTGCAGGCATGATCAATCTTGCACATAGGCCATGATTATAAAATGTCTCAAGTTGTCCTTAACTATCACAAAGTCACTGTTTGATAGCAATAAAAAGGAAATTATTTGCTCAGCATCATCTTTTTTTCTGTTTTTTCCTTTAATCACAAAAGTAAAGGAGCTGGGGAGATGGCTCAGTGAAATAAGCGCTTCCCTGGCAAGCGCAAGGGCCTGAGTTCAATTCCCGGTTCTGAAAAAAAAAAAAAGTAAAGATTTCACTTTTCTAACACAACTACCTCATTTTCTTTCTTTTTTTATTTTAAAGAGGAAAAAAATAACAAGAACAAAAACAAAGCAATATAGAACAATAAAAACGGTATAGAATTTCAAAACAAGAATAGAAAATTGGGCTGGGGAGATAGCTCAGCAGCATAAGCACCTGCCTGGCAAGTGCAAGGTCCTGAGTTTGATCCATGGTATCGCAAAAAAAAAAAAAAAAAAAGAAAACTAACAATGGTTGTTATATTATGTATTCTTATGAAATTCGTTGCTCAGATTACCAGATATAGATATGCCAGATTGAAGATGCAATTAAATATTAACTCCTTTCACTAAACCTTAAGTTTTCCCCTCATCCATTTTACTTTGTTTTTTTAAATTGATTTTAAAAAGAGTATAAAAATAATAGATTAAAGACCTAAACATTAAAACAGACTCACTAACTCTACTGGAAGAGAAAGCAGGTGGAGAGTTCATGAACAATAACCAAACAACATGGAAAATACTTCAAAGAATTCAACATCTGGGATCTCATTTCTGTATGTCAAAGGAAATCATCAATAGAGTGGGCTCACAAATTGGGAAAAAAATCTTAACAAACAGTCATGCAGACATAAAGAACTAAAAAAAAAATCAGGTCCCCAAAATTCAAAGACCCAATCCAAAAATGGGCATCTGAGATGAATACACACTTCTCAGAGGAAGAAATACAAGAGGCAAATAAATACATGAAAAAATGTTCCACTGTATTGATCATTTGAGAAATGCAAATCAAAACAACACTGAGATTCCATGTTACCCCAGAAAGAATTGCTATCATACAGAAATCAACTAATAATAAATGCTGGAGAGGTTGTGGGGGAAAAGGAACCCTTCAGCATCATCTTTGTCTCTCTACTATTTATCTTTGTCTGATGATCTCCTTTGCATTGAAGAGTTTTAGAGTAGTGGGACACAAATTGCTGTAATGATAAAGATAAAAGATGTTTGTCAGACTGTGGTGCAATACCAACTTCTTGTTTTGAATTAACAGATAAATATCATACTTAATATAAGTATAAAGATGCACAAGGATATTACCTTAAAAATAACCTCACTTTTAAGGAAAGTGAGAAGATCATATAGAGTACCAACTCCTATTTCTAGAGTCAATAAGTTGTCTTGTACTTGACACTCATAACAGTCTTTACCAATATTTTCAATGGTATGGATAGATCTCTTAAGTCAACTGAACGTCTAATGTCTAGGGTAATGATTCCAATAATAGGCCATGGTATCTTTGAGGATATTAATGTGGAGTAGAGTTAGCTCTATTACCATCATGAAACTGATTTAAATTTACTATGAATCTTTGGTTGTGAATTAGTGGTAGAAACTATGATTCTAAAATCTGCAAATTTCACTTGCCCTGCCCTTTGTCCATTTACAGCTCCATTACATGGTATACATGATAGGTGCTATTCTCTAAAAATAAAATTATGAGATACCTCTTCAAAGGCAAATTTGACTGTATTTTCTTCAAATTTTAACCTCAACTGCTATCAAATCTTCAAAAGATCCTGTAAAAAATTAGAAATCTTAACTTGACTTCATAGTATAGCATCTGAGTTATTTATTGGCGTTTGTAAACCACACAGACAAGCTAAAGAGACATTTTTAAATGTAGCAATTATACAGAAAAACCTTTCTTGAATTTTTTTCCTCCAGTAAATATGATGGTACTACTTACTCTCATGTATTAAGATATCTTGTGGATGTAAATATTTTATATTCTGTCTGCAAAAATTTGTCAAACTAGTTCTTCAAAATGTGCTGGCCTAGATTCAGTCATTCTTAAATTCTTGTCAGAGATCCAACTAATCTCATTAACAGTTAAAGATGAGCTGGGGATGTGGCTCAGTGATAGAGCTCTTGGTTAGCATGCTCAAGCCTTTGCATTTGATCCCCAGTTCTGTAAAACCAAAAATAAATTTTAAAGACTTACAAGAATTTTTTTAAAACTGTGGTCTGCATATTTCTCAAAAAGAAATTAATTTAAAAAAAGAAATTAATTAAAACTTTATGTACCAGTGTTACTCAGTGTTTATTTTTATTTTATTCTACTTAGATTGATTGATTGAGACAGGGTCTTGCTATGTAGTTCAGAATTCATTGTGGTCTTGAATTCATTATGTAGCCCAGGCTGGCCTTGAACTCATAGTGATCCTCCTACTTCAGCCTTTGAAGTGCTGGAGTTACAGGTGTGCACCACCATGCCCAGCTAGTTACTTGCTTTTGCTGTCACAGTTTTTGATTCAACTTTCATGAGTTTTTGTCTTGTTTTTGCTGGGTTTTTTTTTTAGATGATTTCACTGTGTATTACATGCTTACCTCAAAGTCAGAATCCTCCTGAGTACTGAGATTTAGGCATGCACTGCATGTCCAGCTTCTAGATATTTCTAATTAGATGCCATTATAGTGATATAGTTTTGTCAATAAGAACATTTATACTAATTGGTTTTTAATCTTCATACTCTAGACATAAAACCAGAAAATCTCTTAATCAGCCACAATGATGTTCTGAAATTATGTGACTTTGGTAAGTTAAAAGAAATTTAGTCCTAGTATTTAATGAATTAATTTAAGGTAACACATATATAGCTTTTTAAAGGCATAATAAATGTAACTTTTATATTTTGAATTAGTAGAGGAAATTCTGTTGCTATATACTGAAAAATTGATTACTGGAAGAATGCTACATTCTCTTTGCTCTAGAATGTTATATATAATTATTAAAAATTCATTGTCTGTTTTAGAGTAGGATAAAATATTTTAAAAATTGTTTGAGGTTTAGTTATAACCACTAAAGATATTCCAGTTTATGTAAACATATATTTACTATGTGTGTGCAATTATTATGTCCTGATTATGTGTCTGTAAGGTCAAAAATATTTTTAAAATACTTCCATTTATGAACTGGTCAATATTCAGTGCCTGGTAACCGATATATTCTAGCTCTGGATTGAATGTATAGAGAAGTGTTTTTAGTTATACTATCTTCTAGTAAAACAAATTATCAAATTATATATTATGTTCCATATAGATATCTTTGTATTAATCAAGTGCTGTTAAACAGTTAAAAAATATGGAAAAGATTTTGAATCATAACTGAGATGTTCAGGGCATGGGTCTCTTTTTGAAATTAAAGTTTTTTACCTAATCTATATGTTCAAAAATAGCAATTTTATTTTTAAAATTTGTTCCATATATTCATGTATCACAAATACATTATAAACTTCAAAATATAACTAAGAAGGGATCTCCTTATCATAAACAAAGTTAGATTTAATTAGTACCTAGATGGATTGCACAAATGAAGAATAGAGCATTGTAGGAATTTGCTCTGTAAAATAGCCCATTTTGCCCATTGTAGCAATTAGAAGTAATTGTTTCCATGAGATAGTTTCTAAGAATTTGGGTATTGTGAACTGCTGGCCGGAAGAAAAATATTCTGATTTTCTTCATAATTTTCTATAAGAAACATTGCAAAGAAGTCTTACTCTAGCCTATTTTTGAAGAAATAAAATAAAAATGTAATATTGAACACAGTACCTGAAAGATTTTGATCTTGGCATTTTTAGCATTTCCTTAGCATTATGATTTTCAGAAACAGTGTTGTCTTCCTGTTTTTTTTTTTTTTTCCGGAACCAGGGATTGAACTCAGGCCCTTGCACTTGCCAGGGAAGCGCTTATTCCACTGAGCCATCTCCCTGGCCCTGTCTTCCTGTTCTTAAGGGTAAATCCTACCCAATACAGACACTTTGTGCACCTTATATGCCATTTACTATGGGCCACTGATCTGTTTAAACTCCAAGATTACTGAAATTTATAAAGCAGTTTATAAATAGAAAAGAAGTGCTTACAGAACAGTTAAGAAAACTTCTAGTCTTAGCATTATTTCTTAAGGAAAAGACTACTTTAAGTGGGCAGGAAGTTCCTCTGGGCAGCACCACATGTGGTAGTCGGTGTCCTGTGTGTGCATCCCTAACAAGGGCCTCCTAATTGTTTTCCCTTTCAGTGCATACAGCTCCTTTGTGTGGTTTGAAGAATCGCATTCAGAAATACAAATATTTCTTCAGAGTAGTCTCACAAAGAAGTATTGATTAACTGAAGTTAAGAGTTCAATTTTTTGCTTTTGTGGCTTTTTGTTTTTTCATTTTAGGAAACACTGCCGCTTTTCAGAACTGACACATCAGTTTTTAATCTGTAACTTTCATGTTTCAGTTTTCTGTAACTATTATAATGAATCAGATGGGTAATTAATTTATCCAGTTGCCTCATTTGTGACTATGCTGTGGCCCCTAAAACCTCTTGATAGAATGGTGACAAAAGGCATGTTTGAGTCTATAATTAAGATATTTCAGCATGCTTCTCAAGTATTAGGAGATGATAGTGATTTTAGCTTGCTTTGTTTCTATCACTGCCAACTGTTGTTTACATAATGGCTAGAACTGCTTACCTACAATAAACACACAAATGCTACATAGTAGAATTAATGACCATCAAGATAATGCTAGTCTGACTTCCAACTCTAGTGGGGATTTCATTGTATTTCTGAGGTTTGCATTTTTTTAAATTGTAGAAAATCTTTAACATTGCTTAGGCTAAGAAGGCCCTGTGAGCAAGCTAAAACCTACCAGTTGAAGTCCCTGTCATGTCCCAGCTGCCTCGAGTGGCAAGAGTGACAACTTTGCCTGTCAGGGTGAAGCCACTACCATCTCCTTATATGCCATGTCCCCAGCCAGAACTGGGCTATTCTTGGCCATCCAGGGAGGGCAGAGAGCTGTGGACACCAATTAAGTCCATAGCCAGTATTCACCCAACATGGGGGTCCCTGAGACAGCCCATTGGAACAGGGTGTCTGGCTTTTCTCAAGGACCAGTTTCACTGCTGTCATCGTCACTGTTGGGTCCTACAGAGGGAGGACTTGCCAGATGCCCAGGTGCTCCTCATGCCACATTATTGCACTGCTTGTGACCATCATGTCCATCACTTGGTCCAAGGTTTTCCCAGCCACATTGGTGCCTCTGACCCTGAGGATATCATCATTGACTGCCAGCATCCCTGTACTCTCAACCAGGGCCCCATGTACCTGGCAGATGAAGATGCCTAGAACCTGTTCCAGGCCCTGGAGAGTGTGGTCTAAATGAGATTTGCATTTTTAGGAGAGATAACTTAAAAATATGTTTTGATACTTAGAAAAACATGAAATGACTTTAAAAACAGATTTCTTTAGCATAGGAGAGTGACTGAGTTTGTAGTAAGTGTATGGACTTAAAAGTAAGGACACACTATTAATAAGTGGCCCATTCAGTATCAGTCATTATGTTTTTGATGGTCTTTTGAGATATTATCAGTGCTGAAATATTTGCCAACATCAAATTATTATTCTTTCAGGTTTTGCACGGAATCTGTCAGAGGGTAATAATGCTAATTATACAGAGTATGTGGCCACCAGGTGGTATCGATCCCCAGAACTGTTACTTGGGTGAGTTACTGTCTCAAAATAGAATGAACTCTACACACCTGTTGATTCTTTATTATTGACTTTGGTTTCACTGATAGAAAATAAGAACATCAATTAAATATGTCATTTATACATTTAATAATGTAACAAACCACCTACAACTAAAATGATATGAGACAAGCACCATTTAATTGCTTAGGATTCTAGGTGTCAGTAATTTGCATTCAGCTTGATGGTTCTGCTGCTGCTCTATCTTGGAGTCGCTCATGTAGCTAGTGTCTTGGAAGATTACCCAGAAGCTGGTTGACATAGGGGCCTCAGCTGGAACCAAGTGTCTTTTATCCATTCGGACTCATCATTCAGTAGGCTGATCCATGTTTCTACGTGTCATAGTGGGAAAATTTAGCAAGAAGCTAAACCTTTAAGGAAAGGTGCTTTCCAAGTATGAAACAGCATGGCTTCTTTTGCTTCTGGCCAAAGTATATTTTATAGCAAATGCCTAATTTAAAGTATAGAGAAATAAGGGCTGACCAAATAGCTCAGCAGATTAAAGTGCCTGCAAGCAGGCCAGGGACCAGGGTTCAATGCCTGCCATGCCGGCCCTGCCCCCAGGGTGTGCTCAGATAGCAGTTGAGACTGGGCATGGTGGTGCGCGCCTGTAATCCCAGCTCTTTGGGAGGCTGAAAACAGAATCACTATGAGTCTGATCTAGTAGTGAGTCTCTGAATACCCTGTAGATGCTTCCCTAAAATACAAAAAAAAAGTATAGAGAAATAAATCCCATCTCTTGATGGGAGAAGTTCCAGTACTTTATCACAAAAGTGAAATGCATGTAGAAATGGAAGGAATTATTGCTGCCATCTTTGCTAATTATCTTCCACATTATGAATATGAATAGTCACAGAATTTGACAGTCAGGCTTGTTTGTTCATTCACTCATTCATTCAAATGCTTACCAAATATTTATTAGCTCTCTTATATCCAGCCACTTTGCTAGACATATGGGGTAAATATGGAATTAATTACCATTTTTCCTTTGAACTGTTTAATAATAAATGCTTATTCAATTTAGCACTGTATATATATTTTTTCAGCAGTACTTCCACATCCATCCACTTTGTGTAACCTTGTACTTCCAGTGCTCTCTCATTGATCTGTTAACCCCAGGAAAGGGTCTTCTGATAAAGTTCTTTTATTTCTAATATATTTTAACTTTAGAACTTAAGGAAAATTAAAAAAGAACTTTAGGAGTTTACAGTTCTGATCACCATCAAATAGTTTTAAGACTAATTATTGAGCTGCCCTAGACATAGTCTCTCCTCTTTTCTTATTGAGACATTTTATTCATATCAATCACAGGCAAGGAAAAAGGCTTAGGAAAGGTAACTTGCCTGAAATCACACAGCGAGAAGACAAACCAAACAGGATGGTAGATCCACTGGTTGGTCAGATGTGTGTGGTCAGCGCATGCTCTCATACCCCCTCCCTTCTTTTTTTCTTTTGTGGTACTGGACATTGAACCTAGGTCCTTCACTGTGAGCTACATTCCAAGTTCTATTTATTTTTTTTTTATTTTAACACAGAGTCTCACCAAGTCACTCAGGCCTTAAATTTACAATCCCTTTTGCCTCTACCTCTCAGAGTGCTAGGATTATAGGTGTGCAGCACCACACCTGGCTATAGTATTTTCTTATTATCACTAGACTGCGTTTCCTTCTTAAGACTATCCAAGAATGGACAAATAAAATTATCCATAGTTGTAGTGATGATAAGTATACACCTTGTAAGTTTCATCTCTTTTCTTTGTGTGTCATATATGTATCTGGGAAATGTGAAAATTTTAACTTTTATACTTTTTATATATAGTAGTAATACAAATTTCTGTGTTTCTTCTGAAGAGCATGATGACTATCTATGTTTAATTTACTCAGTGAGAGTTCATATGAATGTGTCTACCAACTA